GCCTTAAAGGCAAACAATCCTCAGTTCGGTGGCCCCTCTCCTGGTGAAACGTACAACGATACCGCGGATTGTAGCCCTTTTGTCCATCGCCCAACTTAGCAGAAAACCGGACATACTCCTCATCTCGGATTTCACTAAGTATACGATAGATTGGAATCTTGAAGACCGTGGTTATGCCAGTCCTCGCCTTCATTCTTCTGTTTGCGTCCTCAACGTCATCTCGGGGGTAGTAATCCCGGTCATTCCGACGTCCTCTACCCCGGTTTTTACGATTTGAACCCCGGTCTGGTTCCTCTGCTCGGTCACTTGAGTGGCTGGACTCTTGCCCAACTGCGTGCACTTTGTCTGCTGTCTTCTTGTCTGTTACGACTGGACTGGCTTTCACGGTAGAAGCCGACGCGTCATCCTCCACACGGATGTGCTCATTGATGTGCTGCATGAGCTGGCCAATGGAGGTCGGCTGGTGCATGGTAAGCGAGTCCCATAGTCTATGTCCGACCGGGAGACCGCGCTTATACTGCGTGATTGCAAGGTTGACCGGGCAGTCTAAGATCTCATTGAAGGTTTCCCAATACCTTGAATTGTACGCCTTCAGTGTGTCGCACGGTTCCATCTTGACACTTAGCAAGTGATCGACTTCCTTTGGTGTTTTTGTGTTGGTTTTGAAGCGCGTAACAAACGCCTCGGCCAACTGATGCCACCTTTGTATGCTCCCTTCCGGCAGCCTCTCAAACCACTTTAAGCCCAGCTCGCCCAAACTTGACGAGAAGATTAGGCACATAAGTCCGTCATTCCGCCTATGTCCGGCCATAACCTGTCGGAAGTGACTCACACGCATGTAAGGGTCGCTTTTTCCGTCATAGAGTGTGAACTTAGGTTGGTGGAAGCCTGCCGGAAGTGGTGTTGTCTCAATTTCCAGGGAAAAAGGAGTGGCACTCAGCCTGGCCAAGTCCATATCTTCGAAGAGTGGAACTACTATGCGGGGTGGAGGCATTCCGACCTCTTCACTGGCGTGAACCCCATAGGATAACCGCTGGAAAGCAGGTATCCTCTGAGCTTCGCGGCGGCGGGCCCATTCCTTTAAGACCGCTCGTAAATCCTCTGACTGAGCGGAGTATGAGTACCTCGACGTCGTCGCCGGACGTGAGCTGGAAAGCTGGTATTCTCTAAGCTTCGCACCGGCGAGCACGCTCCTTTAATACCGCCCGTAGATCCTCGGGCTGCGCAGAATAAGAGTATCTCGACGTCGTCGCCGGACGTGAGGGTTTGTAAGTGCTGTCTTGCGCGCTAGACTTTTCTGCACGCACATCGAAATCACCAACCTGGTAACTTCTGGTGATAGATATGGACTGAGTATGTCGTTGACTCTGTCCGCCTGAACGGCGGGATGGGATGCGCTCACTGTGGTCACCCACTCCAGCTACACCCTTTCCTTTGACATGCCGCTTGAGATCTTCCATCTCTGCCGCCATTCGCCTGATGACAGCATCTTGATCCCTCAACTTGCTTTCCAGTCACCTGGCGAGTCTCTCCTCCGCCGGTGACCGTCTGGACTCCGTGAATGACCATCACTCCTTCCGCGCTTATCCCGCGCGTCTCCTGACTGTCCGCCAATGGGCGTTCCCAAGTCAGCCATTGGGTGGACAGCAGGAGGTCCCTCTCTCCTTCGAGTATACTCCGGGGTGGCTCCGTCGATGACGGACAACGGAAACTCGTCGTTGTTCGCCATGGTCGGCGATCAGACGAACCTGGAAGACAAGGTTTTGTCTGTCAAGTTTCCCACAGACGGCGCCAATTGTACGGGGAGCAAATATTCCGGCAAGCCCGTATTCCTTTCTTCCGAGCTCCGTCGATATCCGATCACCTGCGAGCAAATAACGGTGAACTACCCGGCGATGTGTGGCCGGAAACACCCTCCGACGGTCAAATTAGCACACACCTTAGAGGGAATAGAGAGAAGGGAGAGAGTGTTTGAGTGTAAGAAATTCCTTACAGAGTGTTCGTGTGTCGCGTATGGGGGGCGCAGACATGTCTATATACCTTCTAAGCCCCTTACCCACTCCCGGTCATCTCCTGACACGTGGCTCTGCTATCCCATTTGTCAGCATAGACCTTGCTGAACATCACCTAATCTCAACTGCCTGACTTCACAGCTGGAGCTCGGCAGCCGAGCTGCTCTACCACGGCCATGCCATGCTTCATACCCATGCGCCTAACCGGACAAACACATGGAGGACCGGGCTAGGCGGCATCCCGGCAAAGCCTAGCCCGGGTACCTCCTTTGGTCGGCCTTCCTGCCGGTCAATCAACTACCTCGGCTGACCACGCCTTTCCGGGCGCCGGTCACTCGGTCTGTCTGGCTTCGACCATCCTCGGACCGAGCATCCTGGTCCGACCGGTCACTTCCTGGCCGAG